CGTCGCTGGTGGCACCTGCCTCGGGGGCGGGGTGACATCCTGGGATAGCAGCTCCTCCCCCAGGCAACCCCCCCTGTGCCCATGGTGCCGAGCAGAGCACAGAGCACGCCGTCTCCGGGAGCTGGCCTGGCGGCAGAGGGACGCCGGCCACGGTGCTAGACGGGCAGACACTGAGCGTCCGTCCGTCCGTCCACCCGGGCTGTGGGGGGGAGTGCCTGGGGCGACCGAGTCAGCAGAGGGGAGACCTTTGGGGTCTGAGCCCTGCAGGAAATTCGGGGAACAGCAATCTGGGCCCAGGGAACAGCATGTGCAAAGGCTGAGAGGGGCGGTGGGGTCGCGAGGGCCAGTGAGGGAGTTCGCTCGCCCCGCCCCCCCCCCAAGGCCAGGCCACGTCCTGGAGGTCGGCGGCAGGCAGTGTGCTTTCCAGCCGCGTCTGTGACTTCGGTCCCAGGGAACAGAGGCCTCCTCCTGGGCTAACCGTGACCTTGTGCTCACAGCCCGAGGGTTGGAGTCGGACGGCCAGCCCCGTGCGGGTACTCAAGGGGTGCTGGGATCCGCCAGCCATGTCTGCCCCATCCGGGGTTTGCAGAGGGCCCCTTCCGGGCCTCTCCGGGGTCAGGGGTCACACACACATGCACGCATAGACACTCATTTAGAGACATACATGCACGCGCACGCTCTCTCTCATAAGATCGCGGAGGAGCTTCAGGCCACAGGCTGGCCACAGGGAGGGGTTTCTGACCCCAGTGGCCTCGGGTCCCACCCCAGAGGGGTCGTCCACGCTCCCGTTTTCTCTGAACCTGGAGGTTTTGAAACTGTGACCTCCTGGTTCATAGGTCGACCAGGAGCCGCGTCGGCCGGGAGAAGAGGCGCGTAGTGATGCGGGGGCGGCTGGTCTGAGCGGGGACGTGGGGACGGTCTGTGTTCTGTGAAGCACGGACGGGGGTTCAGAGCGGTCAAGGGACGGCCCCGAGGCCACACAGCAGCTCAGGAAAAGCCGCTGTTGGAGTCCAGGAACCAGGCTCCAGACGCAGTCCCACCCCCACCCCCGTGTTCTCGGAGGTCGCCCGAGGGGGCTCCGCCGGCCG